ATTCACTCAACCTTATTAAGTACAGGCATATATATATATATATATATATATATATATATATATATATATATATATATATATAAAATTACGACTCAACAGTGTGTTTTCATCCATGTTTACCTAAAATTCATTTTTGTTGGTGGCCATCTTGGATATTTTTGATGATTGGAGCATAGATAATTACTTTTTGGAAAAATTAGATTCTAAACAGTAAAAGGACACTGCAGTTTATCAAAATATAGTCTTTAATCATTTGCCCATCATTCAATTTGATGCTTTTCAACATGCAAATCAAAATGTCGTTTGTTTTGAATCCAGAAATTGACGGCCATTTTGGACTTTTCAACCCTAAACTACAAGCCTAAAAGCATTTTGAATCATTCAGTTATATATTCCATTCCATTACTTGAACAATAAAGCTCAGAAATAGCCTTTCAAATAAGGCTCATAACATGTGGTATTGTCCATACGGGTCGCGTGCAGTTCATTTTTATCAATGGCAAACTTGGAATCATGATAAATGAAGAAAAATTAACCACTTTTTGACAGAATAAAGTGTGTAAGAAGCAAAATGAGATTGCAATACAGATAAATTTATCAAAAAATAAATATTTTTAATTTGCTAATTATTCAATTTAATGTTTTTTAACATGCAAATCAAAATAATGTACGTTTGGAATCCAGAAATTGGCGGCCATTTTGTATTTTTATACCCTGAACAAAATCTCAAAACAATTTAAATTATTCAGTCATACATTTCATACCATGACCTTTGCAATAAATCCTTCATTAAGTAGTCTGAGATGTTTAATACTGAGAAAGGCTTGTTGACATATCAAAACAAAAAGCCCATTTTATGTGGTGGCCATCTTGGATTAGAGCCATCTGTGTTCAAATGTACAATTTTGTGATAAATTAACTGGTAAATATTAAAAATATAGACTTCAACTTATTCAAATACATCAAAACATGTAAAATATTCCTAATTTTTGGTTAATAAAAAAAATTTCAAATTTAGGTATTTGTATTTTTTCACAAAAAGTAAGGAAAATGGCCGCCATCTTGGATTCAGTCGCCATCTTGAAAAATGTAAAGTACCTGAAAAATCAAAGAAGGCCAAAGTACTTGTGATCAGTGCAAATTTTGATAATGTTAAGTTGTTAAGTAACTTTTAAATCAATTTTTGTATTTACAGTTGACACATGAATTTACTGGTGGCCATCTTGGATTTGGCCTGTTTCCGGTACAAACGGACACTTTTTCAAGCCGGAAACAAGCAGAAATGAAAAATTCAGGTTCTAAACTACAAGAATCAATCATAAAACCTTTGCCTGACGGGGGGTGCAGCCAAATTGGATTTTTTGGCCTTTGGCTCATGGACTTAAATGGCTACCGAGAATTTAGTGAAAATTTATGATCAAAGAAATACCCCAAACAGAGGGCAGGTGTTGATACGTGCTGTATCCAAGAGTTGCATTGCAGGCTTCAACTTTCGTGCACTAAAAAGAAGTACTGGTAGGCGCCAAACTTTGGTTTTCATTTGATCATTTGGCAACTTGTTTAGTTACAAACTTATACTTTCAATTAACTGAACATGATAATGAAAGATTAGTGCAATATGGACTTTGAAAGGTAAAAATTCATCGAGATTTCCGGCATCATTGACTCTGTGGGACAATCCAGAATGAAGCCATTGGGATTATTCACTTACTTTTCTCAGGTAGCTCCTACCACATTTGTTTGTAGTTATGTGTGCAATTGCTAACTGTGGTGAGGGGAGTCAGAAGCACTGGAAGACTGGTCCTATATGGGCTCACACTAGTAGCCTACATGTACTTACTGTATATGCCCTACCACACTTTTATATTCCTATTGCCCCTCATGCATGTAAACTGATGCTTTCTGGTGTTAAAAATGACCAATGCCTCTTGGTATTTTGTTGGGGAAAGTGGATTACATGTAGAAGCTATAGCTTTAGGCAAATTCTGGGAAAGCTGAGGGAAACACAACTAAAGCTAGGCACACATTAATGAATGAAAATTATTTAACCAAATAAGTAGAAATTTCAGTGTAGCTAGCTGTTATCCTCTGTTGAGATATTGTCCATTTACTAAAGTAATAGGTTAATCGCCCATAAAAAGCGCAACACCTACTTGAAAACTTATTTGTGAAAATACCTTGACATTTTCATATCCTTGGCATTTACATAATTGCTGCATGTGGTGTCGCAACTGGACCAAAAGGAGTCCTGTTCCACTTTTTATGGTCATTTGGATCTTAATATCTAAAGAAGCGGTTTTTGATAATTCATCTAAACTGAGCTCTGTTTTTCAAACGAAAAAAGATTAAAGATTGTTATAAGTCTGATTATGAAGTAGAATTTTTACTTTCAAAGGGTTTTAGTGGCCATATTAGAATTTTCAGACATGTCCCTATATAAAAAATTGCTTAGAGTCCTGTTCTCTACAATTGTGCCAATTTTCATGCTTGTAGTTTTAAATGCATGATGAATTCACCATACTGCTGTTGTGAGTGGTCTGTTTTCTAATTTTTGGAGGCCATTTTGGATTTCTATACATCTATAGAAGCAAATATTGATACTTCATGCATACCATAGTTTTGTTTAACCATAAAATGTTATCTTAAGCTATTATAGGATTATATACTTGAAGTTTTAATTTGAACGGGTATGTGTGGCGGCCATATTGGATTTGGGGGCCATATATTGGAATTTTTAGACATGCCTATATATCCAAAAGTGCTTGGAATCCATTTTAACAACTGTGCCAAATGCCATGCTTGTAGTTTTTGATGAATTCACCACTATGCTGGATATCTTGGATTAGTAGAGTGCTTTTAAATATCGGCGGCCATTTTGGATTTAATGCACCTAAAGAAGCAGATATGGATTCTGAATTCATACTGTGGTGTTTCTCAACCTTTATATGATATTTAAGCCCTTTAAAGACTATATACTTGAAGATTAATTTGAAGCTGTGTTTTTGGAGGCCATCTTGGATTTGGCGGCCATTTTTAAATTTTCGGACATGCCCATACATCCAAACTTGCTCAGAATTTCATTTTCCACAAATGTGCCAAACTTTTTGCTTGTAGTGCATGATTAATTCACCATTCTAATAGATATCTTGAATAAATGGTCTGCTTTTTTACTTTTGGCGGCCATTTTGGATTTTATACACCTGAAGGATTTATACCATGGTGTTTTCTAACCTTTATATGATATTTTAAGTTATTAGAAGACTATGTACTTGAAGTTTTAATTTGAAAAGGTATTTTGGCGGCCATCTTGGATTTGACGGCCATTTTGGAATTTTCAGACATGCCCATATATCCATATTTGCTTAGAATTTCATTGTCCATAAGTGTGCCAAATTTCATGCTTGTAGGTAAAAAAAATTTCACCAAATTCCTGGACTATAGCTACGAGCCCCGCTGAGAAATGCGAAACGTTGGCATGGTTGGCATTTGGTTGGCGTTGGATTCCCAGTTAGGCCTATAATAATAATAATAATAATAATAATAATAATAATAATAATAATAATATCAAGCCTTCGATTTCTGAAAAGATTAACACTAACGGTCCCCTCTTGAAATTAGTATTTTGACTACATGTAGCTGAATCATAGTTCTAAACCGTACCAAATGGCACCGTTAGCCCATTAAGATACGAAAAAAAAATTAAGGAACTTCAGCGGGCCCAGAATCCCACTCCAAGGGGGGGGGGAGGAGGCTTCCTCCTTCAAATAATCCTGGATCCGACCCTGCTTTATATGAGCCTGTGGGATTCGTGTGCCTCTGCCTTGACCTAATTTAACAGAGCCGTGTACACTATCTCTATAGATATTTTGGTGTCAGTAAATAATGATGCGCATGTCCAATATTTCAATATTCAAAGGCGTTTATAACCTCCCTCAAACGTCTACTAATTAACGTTGTCGTTAATTATTCTGTGTCAACGTTTCTTAGTTGGCATTATTTGGTTACTTAGTTGACGGAACACACAGGTATAATGGACCTATTACTTAGTTATGTTTACTCGTAAATCAAAGTTATAATAATAATAATAATAAATAAATAAATAAATAAATAAATAATCTTAGATTGCAACCCAATGGGTTGAAGTTGTACATAATTTTTTTATTAAAATAAGAACAGCCCAATTTTTTTTATTGCTGTTTAGTTGGGACTTTTCAGTAAATATTGTGTATTTTTAAGTAATTGAGTAAAATTTTGATTGTTGGAATTAATATTCAGCATTTTCATTTCATGTTGATCACTTAGCGCTTCATTGGTATACTGTAAGTGTGCTACAGATAATATCTGTAGCATTATTATTACTATACCCTATTAAATTTGTAGAGATCATATAAGCCCATATGTTTTTGTTGCAATTTTTGCAAAGTGATTGTCACAGTACTCTCAATAAATCTACCATTATCTTGTAGTTTAGGCGCTGTTTGTACAAACACCAAAAATACATACAGTGTATTTCAAATTTTTATTAAAATTGAAATAACAAACAAGGGTGTGACAGAGAGGCGTATTTTTTACAGCAAGGGCTTCTCTGCAGTGGAATAAGTAGTCGTTTTATTTACAATGACAGGTAAGACTATTTCAATTTTTATAGGCGTTAATTTAAATTTCGACGTAAAGTTTTTCATTCCACTTCCTAAATCAAGGCCGAGCTTTAGGTTTTAACATCAAAGTAAATAACCTCGCTTATTAAATACCTGCAAGGTATTACCTAGCTGCCTTATTTTTCAGTCATTTCTCTGTTCAAAAAGATTGTCACACTCTAGCGTATAGCACCAAATCATGAGAAAAACTTGCTCATACAATGAACGCAGACGAACGGGTCGTAAGACTTACATGTACGTCGTGTACGATTTGAATTGCACGTATGTATGTTTGCACACTCAGAATGAGATAAAATTTCCATAATTTTGTGTTTAAAGTGTTTTTTCAACTTTCCATTGTAGGATCCCAGGGACAAGTTTGCCCACCATTTCCCAGACCCACTGCGCTGACCGCCCCGGTGACCATAGACCCCTGGCCAGGAGATGACTCCTCGTATTCTAACGACTGTCACTGACAATGGAACGCCCCGGACAGAGACTCCGAGAGGTATATTCTTTATGTCGTTGTGATAAATATGGTCCCTGTGCATATCAATCAATGATCGTGAGAAAAATCGAGCTTAAGTTGTACGAATATATGTAAAGATCATCAATAGATCTTTAAAACTGACTTCCTAAAATAAGCCATATCAAATGTCTATATTAAACAACGATACATCCACACTATTATTAATTTCTGATTGTGCAGATTGGCTTTCTTCTCGGTATGCTAAACCGATATCATACAAACATAAATTTGTGTCACTATCGGGGTCGATAGTTTACTACCGTAGTGTATAAAGTACTCGGACATAGCTCCTCTTTTAATAAAAGAGCTGGTTCAAATGGCGAATAGATACTTTAAATTGAGTCGTCAGCCCTAGCAAATTCGTCAACTTCGGCCATTACAAATGTAATGTCACAAATGTATAGTCAGAAAAAATTGTTTCCTCTCTACGTTTCCAGTAAAAAATCTTGGAAACACAAGACAAGTGCAACACAAGTGCTTCCTTAAACTGTGTCCTTTTTAAACCAATGCATTCCTGCGGTTGTACAATCAAAAAAGGAATATATATTTTCGGTTCAACATTTCTATATCAAGCAATGATAAACAAACAAATAAACAAACGCAAAAATGAAAATAAAATAACCAATAGGCATTTTATGTTGCAGCATAAATCTGAATGCAAGGGATGTCCAAACAAGTTCGTGTTTGTAGTAGAGTAGTAATAATTAATGGTCGGTATATATATATTGATTATTTTGACAGGTACCGGTAACTGAATAGGAAAATCACTCGAGTAATGTGTTTTTGAATGTACGAGTAATTTATGGGCAGGGCAACAGAAACAGTTATCACTGTTTTTCCGTCACTGGTGTCTGCATGGAGAAACCACCGTGAATGATGAATATGTAATGCAACAACCTCTGTATACGTAGGTCTTTGATTAATAGTGTTTATATCCTGTTTCTACAAACACGAAAAATTATATGTAGTGGTGATTTGGCAGCATAGCTTCAAACCCAGTGTAACAACGTGCAAACATGCAGGGTGTGACAGAGAGGCGTTTCAGTTGCAGCAGGGACATATTTGCATTGCAATATGTAGTAGTTTTCTTTCTTATTACAGGTAAGGGCATTTAAATAAACAATTGTGTTTCAATTAAAGTTAGATGAGAGTAATAGTATTCCGTCTGTTCATGTATGCATTTCAGTTTCCCATATGAATATGTATATCAAAACATAGGAGAAGATTTTGATAACAAGTTAAATCACCAGCGTGTGTCACTTATTATTAACTCCTGCAAGGTGTTACCTAAATCATTTTTTAACTTTTACTTTTCTCTTATCTTCACCGACAGGTGTTTATGGTGTAAAAGTTGCTTGTTCAAGGGTTTCTTTTAATTGCCTTTGGGCAGCAATATGCGATTGAATTGCTGGTAGATATACACTGTATATCCGTATCCATGAATTAGAACAAACCCGTACCGTTATTATGTATAAACTGACAAATACAAGATATAAAACTAGAACTTCATAATGCAAAAAAAGTTGCATTTCAGCATTTTTGATGAGTGTACTTTTTATATGCTATCAGAGCTACGTATTTTTCGAAATTTCCTTAAATTTTGGTAATTCAAATGACCTTTTTCTTCTCAAACGATGTTTTATATATTATAATATTTATCGTTATATTAATTTTTCATTTGATCAGCATAGTTGGTCAACTTTAAAAAAATAATGCCAACGGTAGGTTATGGCGCTATAACGCATGGTCAAGATCTTTTCACATCCAAATAAAAATCAATTTTATTCTAGTTGAAGAATGATTTTGAACAGGTTATACCACTATCGGTAATTTTACGCGGTTCCATTTATGTTCTTCAATATGCAATTCTTTGAAAGTAAACATTACATAATTTATCAGATATCCTGACAGTGAATTTTACATATAAACAGTGAATAAGAATGGCGGCTCATTTGTATTGTTGTCGCTTTCTTCAGCCGGCATATGATCCACTTAACATAATTTTCAACCGTTCCTTGAACGTTTTCTTGGACAGTTAAAGCGTGTCTTCGAAGGCAAATGTGCTGTGTCTAAAGTGACAGAGCTTGGACATGTAATGCCGGTCAAGAAGAGAGAAAAAAAAACACCAAAATTCATACAATTCATACAAAATTGTAAAGAGATCCTGGTGGCCTCTCAATTTTTGATGATATACTGGTGTCTGAAAATGTACCTAATCCTTCTTTATAAACTCATGTAAGTTTAGCATATTAAGACCTCTACTAGTGGAGATATGCCATTCATGATAAAATCATTAATTCAGGAAAATATATCTTAAAAATGTGTCCTGTCGGTTTGGAGTATTTTGAAATGTGTGTTCCTGAGACGTAAGTACAACCCACGCCATTCCCAAACCTTTATCTATATGAACTTTAGAGGTTTGTCGACGATGAACGATGAAATTATCGGGGGCAATAAACCACAATCATACCAACATAGTTTTCAACCTATTCAGTAGTGACCGCACACTTATTTCCACAACGTGAAAACGTGTGTAGCAAACAGAGCATAAGGGGATTGGATAAACCCTACTCTCATAGGGTTTTTATTAATTTCAATGTGAAATCGGTAAATTCTTTTAAATGGACAGTACCAGGTGACTCTAATAACAGTTGTAGTCTCACCCGCACGAAAACGCAGTAGATACTCCAGCGCAGTAGACTACTGTAAGTACAATGTGTACTGTATATCTGTGTCCCTAAAAGAAAAGAAAGCCAAGATAACACTGTTATCATTTATGAACTGAGAAATAAATGATATTAATACAACCTGGTCTGGGGGATCTTTTTAAACAACCATTTTATTTTCTGTAGTGTTTAAATTGTTGCTATCGATTTTCTACTCTAGGATCCCAAGGACAAGTCTGCCCACCATATTCGAACCCCACTCTGCTGACCGCCCCGGTGGTCATAGACCCTTGGCCTGGAAATGCCTCGTATTCACACAACTTGGACTGTCACTGGCAAGTGAACGCCCCAAACGGAGAGGTAAGGTCTTTATAGGTATAAATCGACTAGAAAAAATGGGTACCATGTGGTTCCGGCGTATCAATGAATAACGGTAGTGAGCGCGCTCGAGCACGGCAGGTAAAGCGTTTGTGTGTGTGTGTGTGTGTGTGTTTCTGTCTGTGTTACTGGGATGAGCGTTATTTGTGTGAACGCATGATTTTTTTTCAAAACCACAATTATGCTGAGGATGGTGGGTAGCAACGTCATTTCTTGAAAGCGGTGATTTCATATCTTTATGACTATGTCACAGTAAAATACAGCATATTAGGGTAGGTGTAGGTGCCTCTGGCGCTTCTTGTTTTATGGTGACTTTTTGCTATAAAATTGTAACAAGCAGTATAGTATTACTTCCTTGATTTCAGGTTCTGGAGTACTCGATAGATTCTTTAGACGCGGACAAAGAGTATTGCTCATTCTGCCATTTTGACTATCTAAAGTTAACAGATCATTTTGGAGAGTTCGAAACATTTTGTGGAAGTACGTCAGCCAATGGTACCTTTCACAGTACTATTTACATTCATTTTCACAGCGATGATATTGTTGTTGGATCTGGATTTAGACTTGTGATAACGCCAGGTGAGTGGCATCCCTCTCTCTTTCTGTCTGTGCACTTAAGCGCAGGTGCGATCCCTCCTTTATTTTAAACAAAAACTTTCATTTTATTTTGATCAATTAAATTTAATTGCCTTTCTCAATATTGTAGGAGAGAAACCTTGAATGTTAACAAAGAAGCCTGTTGAGCACTTTTAATGTTCACCTTTAAGTGGACGTGTAAATTACATTCAAACACATTTCAATCGCTTTAAGTTAACACACACACACACACATGCAATTCGTTTGTTTGTTTGTTTGTTTGTTTGTTTGTTTTTTCAGTTTTAGATTCAAGCTCATTCACTACGTCACAAACTGAACAGCAATCTTCAGCACCACCAAACTTCGATGTCTCAAACTATATGCCAATCCACAGTGGGCAACTATCTTTAGTTGCTGGTGCCTCTGGCTCACCTTCAGAATTCATTACATACCAATCTATTCAGCCATCAGCAAGCCCAGAGTCGCAGCCGGTCACTTTAAATGGGGAATCAGCAACAAGTCTGTCTACAAAGCCGAGCAATGTCACTACCCCTGCCACTACCAAGAGGAGTACTGAGGAAGCTGCTGGCCAATCCAGACAAAAGGTTAAAGAAGAAGAAGAGACAAGAAAGTTGGCGGCTACTATTGGCGGGGTTACAGCAGGACTGATAGCTGTTGTAGTAATTGTAACACTGGGAGTGGTTTTGTTCATCAAATGGTATGCATATAAATTCATTGTCATTTCAGACTCGTGGGTTCTCAGTTCTTCTGCATTGCGTAACAAGGTATCAATCCTTTGACACAATTTGATTTATTTTTCTTTCCCGTTGTTTTGCATTCAGAGTAAATTCTGGTGTTTCATTCTGTGACGTAGTTGATAGGATTTATTTCATTTTTTTGTTTGTTTTTGTTTTTGACAATGTATCCAATTGATTTTCAAAAAGGATATAAAACCAATTCATTTTGACTCCAGAATAATTTCAAAACAGTGTTTTTAAAAGATACTTCGGTCAATTATTTTATTGACGTTAGGAATTAAATTGAAACTATTGAAAAAATCATTTTGGTTTTCAGGAAGGGACGCCAGACTAATATGGTCCACGTAATCGCTAACCGGGAAAACTCGACAATGTGGAAATCATCACCTACTTAAACCGCGATTGACGGAAAATTCAAATGAAAGTAGTTTCCGGAGTTGCATCCGATGCTTAATGTGCAGTGTTCAGCAGTTTGGGCGATCAGATGTCAGGTGTGTGATAGTG